TTCAGTATTTTCATATTCTTTTAGTACTGGTATTTATACGTGTATGTTCTTTATGAGAATTAAAAAAGAAAATAATTTTTATTATATAACACCAAATGGGAATATAGACACTTAACAACGAAATAAAATATTACATTCACCGTTGCCGCAACACTTTTCTGCATTCGTGCAGATTTTAATAAAAAAGCTAATACCGTTTTCGCTCTACCTTTACTCCATATGTGTATTACTCGTTTTTTGCTTAATAAATTCATAGTCTCTTTTTATTTTATTCGCATTTTTCAAAAACCAAATAACGTCCACCACTCTCTATTACAGAACATAAAAAAGTCTATAAAAACTGAGAACTTCCGTGTCCTGTTCACAACGTATAAAGCACACGAACAGTTCTACTTTGCGAGTTCACATAATTCTGGACTTTTTTATTTTTCATTACGGCAGTGACTGTATTGCGGACTGTTTTGAGTCTGTTTGAAACAATTCATTGTACTCTTTTCAAGTGTTTATCTGGAAAGCTTTTTATAATTTCAGCGTTTTAATCTTTTTCTGAATATATGAAAAATAATGTCCTTATTCACAGCAATACTTTGATGTTTGATAAAGGTGAGTGAGTTTCTTAAAAAAATCTCTCTTTTTCTGTCAAGATATTGCCATTTAATCTTTTCTAGACTATATACAATCGCAATAAATGTTAAAAAACTCCTAGAAGGTTTACGAAAATTTCCTCATTGTTATATTATCGCACTTTTCGTACAGGCAAATGAAGTGTACGGGCATTTTTAATAAAAAATATATGATTTTATGTTTGACAAAGATAACAAAAATTCATTTAATTAAAACCTAATTCTGCTATTGTAATTATTAAAAAATAACAAACAATAACAAATAAAACAATAACTACAGACATGGGATAGTATAATTGAATAGTTTCATTAAAATATATTAGAGAAATTCCTGCGTTTATAAGATGAATGCTAAGAAATACATTGGGAGTTTCTAATATGCTGAATTGAATTGAAATTGAATATGAGAATGTTTTAGGAAGACTACTATAAAATGTACGGTCGTAGATAGTTTACAAGATAAAAGGAAATTGCTGTGGTTTACGAAACCCTTCCACAAATGTTTGTGCCTAGAAGTTAAAGGAAAAAAATTAAGAACATGCCAACTGTTATCGTAGAGAATATCTACAAAATCGTCAATTTTGCAGTTATTCTGGGAATAACAATTTTGAAAATGCATTTATTAAGAATTAAGCTATATACTAGAATAAAGAATTCACAGCTACTACAAAAAATACAGTGCATAAATAAAAGTGTTCGATGAAAATAATTGTTTTGTTTGCTATCAGAAGTTTATCGAAAATATGGCAAGTTTTGGTTTTAATATTCCATTTAATCAGATTATGTTACTTGTTCTAGCATACATTTAGCTTTATTGGATAATTGTTTAGGTGGATATGTACAGACTTGAATTTTAAATATAGGACTAAATTTTAGTTGTTTGTAATATATTGATATCATGTTAGGGTCTTTTCCATTGTGGAGTCTATTTGTTTTAAAATTTTCGCAGTGGTACCAATGTCGAGGGCGAAAACAATTCTTTCAGAGTTAAGGTATATTGGCTAAACGTTTATGTACAAGTTCAATAAGAGGGTATGACCAGAAAGCTTCCCTAGGGCAAAATATTTTTTGGGGTTCCTGATTTCTTCCTATTTTTAACAAGCATAATATAGAATAAAAATCTTTAGTATATAGTAATGTATTAATGATCTTTGTTCGATTATAATAAAGCATAGTTTTATAGATTTAAGTTGGCAGGGACGTGCCGTTCATGGTATCATATATTTCCGTAAGGTCTACACACCAAACACCATATCTAAGCTCTTAAAAATCTTCTAATCGAATTCTTAGAGGTTAAGTATTTGACAGTGCAAGACTTGTCTGATGAAAATACTGCTTATTTCGAAGCTTGTGGAGGTATATTACTTCGGATTTGAGGTCCAATTTTGGATTCTTATAGATCGACCAGTCATTTGCTAATTATGGAGCCGAAGTACTTAATTGCGTTTGTTGGGATTATATTAACTTAAAGTGATCTTTTATTCTTCGTGAAATTTATTTTTTTTTGGATTATTTGAATGTTGGACTTTTCATTCGTGATTTTGTGGGCCACTACCCATTAGTTAAATAACTGGGCATGGTTCCGTTATCTCTGTGGAGTTGACGTTAAAATCGTTGATCAATTTTTAAAATTGCTTATAGTTATGCGTCATGTCCCTTTTGGTTCTTATCTAATTACATTATTTTTTAAGGCGTTAAATATATGGTTTTAGCCTATCTTGACTATGAAGTCTATAAATACGTCTTTCGTTCAATTGCTGCTTAGTTATTTGTGGATTTGTACAATTATATTTTCTTCTTGTCATTTAGACCAGATAAATAATGTTAACACTACGTGTGTACATGCTTACAAGCACGTACAGCTCAAAATAGCGATATAGTTTAAAAAACTTGAGGAAGGCTAATTTTTGTGGATCGATGCCATACATCTGCCTTCGCTTTCCTATCATCAGCATTGTTTTGTCCTTCAAGCTTTTTAAAAATAGACTTTTTGCAAATAATTTTATGACATTTTTAAATACTTATCATGTAGTTTTATTGACCATCATTTCATTCTTAAACTGTTGACATTCATTATTCTTATTTAACTTTAAGTACTTCTATTTCTTTTTCAACAGTTAGTTATTTTTTTAGTTAATACAGGTACCTAGAATCTTTTTTTGTTTTTTTTTATATTTAGTACTGTTTTCCAAACCGATTATAAAATTATCTGTAGTTTGTTATACGACTTTCAAATCTGCAAACTGCTGATTTGAAAATATTATTTGTCGTTGTCGTGTTAAATCACGTACGTAGATTTTTCTGCCAAAAAATCTTTTGCCTTTCTGTTTCTCGTTTTCATTCTACTTTTTAGTTGTAGAATTAATTGTAACAATCTATATTTTTCGCTGTTCCTCACGAGGTGAGCGAGGTATTCGATTTTGGCTGTTTTTATTGCGATTACCAGCTTTTTTTTATGTTCTTAATAATAGTTCTAATTAGTCAGGTGATATGTATAAGATATCTTGAGGATTCGATGATAAAGCCACATTTCGAAAACTTCAATTTATTATATTCAATATAAGCTTCAATAAATTAAATATACCGTCAATAGCTGAAACTGTTCTCAATATAAGTTTAAAATCCTAATAACCACTTTCATATCGTATATTTGCAAGTAAATAAAGTTATCACTATTTTATATATTTTGGACGTTCTATGTTTTATTTCATTATTTCACTATTTCAGCAAACTTTTATTAATAATATTATGTTTTCCAAGTTTCTCTTTCTTCTCAATATTATCCTGCACACAATCACAAAATATTCCAATTTCCACAACGAGCTTCTAAAATCTGTATGTACTCCGGTTTACAAATTTGTTGTAGTCCATACCGTCGGAAGTACGCACAGCCACTCTGGCTTTTTGCAGTTCATTTCAAAGAGGCGTACATTCTGGCTCTAATTCACCATTTCACAGAATTAATTTCGTTGTATGTCGGTACGGTTCCGATGCACAAACTTCGATGTACATCTCGCTCTGTCCAACTTTTACGGCCGAACTTTGTCATCGAGAGGCTGTATATAATACGTAATACGATGACTTGGTTGGACGCCGTGCTTCATGGATTGTCCACTTGTTTAATACCGTAGTTAGAGAACATAGTATGGAGGATAAAACGAACGAGAATTTGTTTTTTATTTAAATTTAGGCCTTCCGAATAAAAGAACATTTTTATACCCATACCTCTTAATAGAGAAAGTGGTAAAAATTTTCTTTTGAAGTAGGAATATACTACGAGTAGCTATATATTTGTACATTTACGTATATTGTAGATGATTATTTTAATTTAAGCTCCACCATTACACGTGTTTCGAAGCACTAACATATGTGCATATGTATATATTGTTATGATTCAAAAATATGCACACAGTTTAAATGACAGATAAAAGACAAAATGACGAAAATTCTTATTTCTACATGTAAAAAAATTAGAGAATGGAATTATATTCATAAACGGTTTTGTTTGTGTTGAAAGTGAAAAGGACTTATTATTGACGATTAACAGACACTGAAACCTTACTATGGCTGAGAGAAGACAGAAAAGGGAAAGGTCAATTAAAAGATGCCAAGAAGAATGGAACAACACGTAGGTTGTGGCATAGTGGACAAACATGCTGATCCTGAGTATAAGACATTGGATGGGCTGTGATCACAGTCGACTGGATTATTTGCTAATGCAGGTGCTGACAGGACGCGGGTGTTTTAGGGCGCACCTCTTTAGATTCGAAAGGGCTGACATAGATGAATGAATATACTGGGACACTCAGACGCTGTGACACATACGACGTTAGTTGGTTAAACAGAGAGCCTTTTTGCTGACAGTCAGATATGGAGAAATGAAGATAGTGCTTAGAAAGTGATGACAGCCTTACGAATGACCGCTGATCGCTGGATGACAGAGGAGGGTCTAGTTTAGCAGGTAAGCGGGTAAGAGTACGAATACCGAATCCTGCACTAAGGTTAGTCAGGTGACGTTCTGGACTGAGATGTTTTTTTAAAGATTCCAAATACCCCTTAACTAAAAAAAAAGTTGTTGTTCACTTATTTTTAACGAGTTCGAGATGAAGTTACTACTCTTTTCTCATATATCCCTTATTTATATTATACACATTAAAGACTAAGTCAAAGTAAAAAGAGAAGAAGTTATGTATAATCAAAAAATTAACAATTTATAAACAATATAACAGTATAAATTCTGTACTAACTAGGTTTTTAATGTTTTAATTAGTTTTACATATAAAATATTAATTGCCTACCACTCGATAGGTCAAACTAATCTTCCTTACTATTGCCTAAAACTACTAGCAGATAATATCCATAAAATTTAGAACTCACCGTTCCTATTCTCGCTATCGGCCGGCTTCATCTGAATGGGATGATGCATCTGAAACAGACAGTAAGTGAATTAGAGAGATATAGTTCAAGCAGGACTCGCAGGATTTACAGGACAAGCGGAGTAATGTTTAGTGAGACGCTCGGGGAATACATTTAGTGTGCAGGTGCATGACGTCGAGTTAGAAATTCGGTTTCTAAGACAGTGGTAGTTCTTAGGGAATTTGAGCACTAAGTTCTCTGCTATTAGCATATATTAAGTCAATTATTTTCGTCCATTAGAATTTTAAGCGACCCACAAATGAAATAAAAACCTATCTATCAAGCGAAATTAAATAATTAAGAACAGTAAATAACATCTACTATACACATTTAATCCTCATCCAGTTACACTCTGTCGCTATAACAATTTCACGGTTCTTACTTAAGTGTGAATTATCTCCTGCAGAATATTTTATCTGTTATTTAACGTTGATTTTTAGAATATTTAGTCAATTCTTGTAAATATCTTTATTTTGTTCTTTTGTGATTGATACAAACGGGTTATTTATTTCACTTTTTATTATGTTTCAGTTTGTTCTTTTTAATTTTATCAACGTTTGAATTATTTTGCCAAATATGTTGAATTTCACGGTATGGACCGGTATTATAATATTACAAATCTTATATTTGTTACATATGTTCCATATTATTAATATTATACTTAAAACTTTATGAATTCTAATGTATTTGTGTATACTGGTTTCTAGTGAATATTGTCTTTCATCTGATGTTGTGTTCTTTGTGTAGACTATCGTTGACATTGTTTCAAGGTATGCTTGACGGTTAAGGTGCTGTTGCAATGACTGCATGCAGGTGTATCAGTAGATAGTAGCCGTAAGCAAACCATGTGCAAGTTCAGTATGTCCGGTTCTTAGGACGAGTTCTATTTTCTCGGCGGAGGTACTAGCTTTAAGGAAGACATAGCTGGCTGCATATCGTATAAGTGAGACGCAGTTTTTAAAAAAATATTATCTACATATTAAAAAAGAATTGATAATATGAAGTCTGTGCAAAACACTTGTAGGGTTTTGTAGTGTCATAAAAAGTTATAGTAGCCCTACCTACAGAATCATTATTTTTAGAAGCGTCCGAATAAAGAATTTTAATTAGTTTTAATTGACCATGTTTAACAACAATAATTTAATAACAGTATTGTTTATTAAGAAAGATAAGAGATGTATTTATATTAGGAATTGCCATGGAGGATGTGTTCAGATGTGAAAGGAAGTGTACATTTCAGAAAGATTAAAGAAATCAGAAATATGATTTAGTATGAGATAAAGGTTGGTCAGCCTTAGTGGACTAAAAATGTGGTATGGTATTTGCCATTTGGTTAAATAAGTAAATATTAAACCGTTTTTTAATTGGCTGACAAACGGACTAAATAAGAGAGGGGGAAGTATTGTCGTCTTAGCCAGAGGAAAGGTTACTGGATTTAACAATACATGACTATCAAATGAGCTTGACCTAAGGCCATCTAAGAAGATCTTAAGTACTGAATTGAGACAAAAATCAAAAGTTTTCAGTTAACACTTGGAAACGGACATAGAAGTGTGATAGTTTTTAAAATGTCAGTTTGCTTTAGACAATTACTTTTATACTATCGAAGTTGGATTATATCTGACCATCCTTCTGCTAAATTTATTTTGTTAGTCTTCTAGTAAAAAAAGAAATCATAAAGTTTTTCAACTATTTGTTTAGATTATAAATAGCTGCTTAAATTAACCAAGATAATGTTTTATTGTTGTTTCCTCTGCAAAACAGTAAAAGGCAATCGGTATACGCTGTGTATTTTAAGAAAAGATTAACACATATTCTTAAATCAATAAGTGCGAAATATGTTACACTTATAACAGAGCCTTAGAGAAATTGGAATTAGTAGAAGTACCAAATTGTTTATTGTAAAACAAGGAGATAGATCTAAATCTGAATTGTGCTAATGAAATAAATATATTGTTTTCAGCATCCAAATACGACTTTTGTATACAGCCTACCCGTATTAAATTTGTCTTCTCTACTTTGAGTTTTTCGATATATGTATAATACTATTTGCAATTATAGACTGCTCCTTCACGATCCTTATTTCATAATGGAATTTTTCTTGCGCGTCCACCTGCCTCGTGTTTGCAGCTTGCAGAGATTTTACCTACTTGTATTATATAATTTAGCTGCACAAGTACTGTAATAGATAAAAAGGTTTAAGGATCCATCCAAGTATCGACACAAAATTGAGAAAAACTAGAATTTCTCATAAAAGTTAATACCAAAACTTCATTCTAATCTGTATTGGCAATCCATTATTTAGATATATAGTTAAAAAGAAATTGATATTGGAAACTGTGATGGATATGTAAGTAAAGGATGATAATTTGAGATTAGAAAAGCTCAGATGGATTTCGATAAAAGTATCAAAAATATGTTGAAACGTATACTAAGTTGGTGTTTAATAAGTACGCGTTAAACAATTTACGAAGTATACAAAAACAGTTCTACTCTTTTAAATCTGTTATGCAACACCCACATAAAGCATATTTACATTGAAGTCGATCAAAAAGGAAAACGTGACTAGAAATTATTGGATTAGATTTAACCCGTTTTTAAGAAATTGTTATTAGGTAGAATATAATAGTTACATAATTTAATTTTGCTAAGAAAACCATACTTATTGATGCTCATGTCATCCAATTCAAGCCAAAAGAAGTTGGTAATCATCTACCTATACTGCTCACCGTTGACGGTGTTGACCTGGCCAACATTGTGTTCAAAGACATATGGATTGGTGACGCCACCAGCAAAAAATAAACACGAATCAATCTGTGAAATGTTTGTTGTTGTTGACGTACCCATTCATTCAAAAATGGTCTGAAGATAATTTTTCCATGAAAATTGGTCAGTATCCAACTGCTTTACAGCCAATACAAGCCGTTCTCTAGTGTAGTTAACCATCATACCAAAGTTAGTTGAATTCTGTACTGAGGAAGGCCCAAACCACGATGCACAATTTGCCAATTTTTAAAATACAGAGTTCTGGTGACCGACGTGGCATAGACTACCTAGGATTTTCCTACACAATCTAATATATAGCGGCGATGTATTCAGTAGATCTTTCCTTTGTTTTGGCGTACGGGTATTGTTTACCAAACAACAAATTAACACAACGAATAGTCGTCTTGGTATGGCGATTATGGTGACCGTAAAATGGGAGAAGCGCGTGGAACGTTGTTAGAACAGAAGACTCATTGTGATAATAGAAATGTCATTTACAATTGTTATTATAAATATATCTATCAATGGTGATGTAACAAAACAGTCTAAATAAATGACAGCCAGTTTGACAAATGCAGCTTTAGCAATGTGGCTGCTACCAACTGTCTTTTGGTACAGCTTGGTTGGACAAGTTACTACTGGAAGACCTCTAACAAACAAACTCCATTAAAAGTATTATTTTGTATCGGTAATTGCCTTGTTAAAAAGCAAAGTTGGGTTGATTGGCTTTATGACAAATTTCTTATTATATCTGAACGATTCCTGAAACGTGAATACCAATCCAAAAAATAGATTTTGTTTTAATAAAAATTCTCATCCCAAATGGATTTAAACTTACGACCCAGAGTTTTTACGTTTACGTTTTAGTATGTTAACGTTCTTACGACTATGCCACGAGTGTTATTTACCATTTATTATGTTGTTGTTTTTTGTGATAGAGTAATAATGCAACAAGCAAACATTCTGCCAAATCAGAATATCAAATCAAAACGTAGTCAACATGATAAGGCAATTGGGGATACCTATGAAAATTAATTATTAAAGCAGGCTAATTTAAATAGCAGATGTTCCTTAGTATGGGCAACATTCGAAAAATTACAGTATTTAAATCAAATTTACCAAATACTTTAAAGGTATAAACTTTCAATAAGTACGTGTTGCTGGTACTGACATACGAAACTGAAACATGAGCTTCTAACAACAACATAGTCAACAAACTTAAAGTGACTCAGAGAGCTATGGAACGGAGAAGGCTTTTTATGGAACATTAAACACAGTGATCGTAAGTCCAATAAAGAAATAAGTATGAGAGGAAACGAATCATTGAAAAAAAACCAAGAGAACACAACATAAGTAGAGGCAGAGCTCAATCCAGATGGACTGATGACATCAAACGAGTGGCTGGTCACGAGTGAATACAGAAAACAAAAATGAATGAATACACCGTTTACATCCGATGATGTAAGGAATAGCGGTTGATCATGATGATGAAAAACAATCCAAAAATAAATAAAGCTAAAGCGAAAAACAAAATAAAAGAATTAAACTAAAAGGAATTATTAACCGGTAAGATTGAAAATAATCATGCAGAATTATCCAACAGAGACCAAGGACTTTATTTTGTATTTATTCAAAACCAAGAGTTATTATTTATTTAATTATTTATTATTATTTATTTAACTTATTTGTATTTTGAGAACCTAGAGAGTAGTACCGGTGAGAGTTATATAAAAAATAAGGCTAAGGTAAAATTATAACTCTTCACAAAGCGCGAATATTTTAGTTAATTCAACATTTTTGGAAACAAATATATGAGACTTATTTATCAACTTTCTTAACCCAGCGAAAACGTGTTATTAAGCAGGTTGATTTTAACCTATTATAAGAATAAATTAAAGAATTTAAAGCAAGTGTAATACGGACATGAATGTGTGAATAAACAGTTGAATTAATTTGTGTTTTATGCGAAGATCATTCATCAGTAGATCGTAAAAAATACCCGGAATTTGACAAAAAATAAAAAAGATTATGCTATATTATGATATGACAGACATTATATCATATATTAAAGAAAAGAAGAAAAATAAAAAACGTGAAAAATTATGCTAAAAATTATGTTTTGTAGTGACAAACCAAGCTCCAAAGGCAGATTATCGCTTAAATCCTTAATCAAATTAAAGACGGGAAATCAACAGGACATAATGATATATATATATATATATATATATATAATATATATATATA